CTCTCTCAGGACGGTCCCCTTAAACATAGACGGATTCAACACACTTTAGTCTCCAATTACTAGTCTGCCTAATCTCATCTGTGTAACCATTTTCTTGATTTTCAAGGAACTTTAATCTTTAATTTCTATCTGTATTACATATAGCATTGTAATGATGGCAATCTCAATAATAATAATAATAATAATAATAATAATAATAATAATAATAATAATAATAATAATAATAATAATATTAATAATAATAATAACAATAATAATAATAATGACAATAATAATAATTGTAATAATCTCTTGTAAAGACTGTTAAACCTGACTGAAGGCCACAAGACTGCATGATCTTTCTTTTAGGATTAGTGATAGGCCTCTTAGACAAGTCCCCTCAGTAGGTCAATGCAGGTCGGTCCTGATGTTCAAACCCTTCAATCATATGTGGTAACTGTAGCAAATAGGTGATGCTCCCACTGATGTTTATAAGTAAGAACACACCCTGATTCAAACAGAGAGATAAGAGAAAGGATAGAGATCAACTAAGAGGGAGACACACAGAGAGGTCAAGACTGGTCATGTGAAAAGGTATTTGCTGAGATACCATAGTCATGTGGCCCTGACTAGTGCATTCTGTTGTATTCATGACTTGTGACCAATGACTAAATGTAAGAGCAGAAACAATCTTTCTTTCAGACTATGCTATTGCCATTAAACGCTCACCTGGAACCTCACCCGCAGCAGTGGTTCCCAACAATAATAACAATAATATTAAGTATTAAAAAAGAAAATTTAAAAAATCAAGGTATACAGAAATTACGTGAGGTCAGAAGACTGGCATTTTGGTGACCAAATGCTTGAGGAGCTATCTATCTCTAAACTGACTCACAAATCAATGGTGGATACCACAACTACCAACAATTATAGATTCATGTTGAAGGAAATATGAGATCATCAGCATAATTTGCAACAATAGATCCTGTTTAACACTTATGCAACCTAAGCAATTACACTTCTATTATTTTAGTACATATGAGACACTCATGATTACATGAGTGTCTCATTACAAGGGAAAAACTTACAGTACATACAAAATATCATTAATGTCAATGGGTTTTTCAACTCAACATATAACAATGAATATCCATGAATCATTATGGATTTGGAGAAAAAATAGTTTCTTATTTTGCTGACCTAAAATGGCTCTTGAAACTGTATTCCTATTTAATTTTTCTATTTCTGTAAAGAAAATATTCATATAGTATAATGTAGTGAAGATTATAAATCTAAGAATTAAAATCAAACAGATAAAATATATACAAATCTATTAATTATCAATAATGCTTTAGAAAATTGGTATCACACTTACAAATCCACAAACACAGATATTCCCCAGCCACAGAACTTGCACTCATGGTCATGATGCACACAAAAATGACACTTACCATCTACAGCATCCTCCATTATAGCCCCCAATTCTCTTCTTAACATATCCTTCCTTGATCTTCTGGCCAAGTTCACTAATGAAGGACACTGGGGATATCTTTGTAAGAAAATATAAACATATTAATATTCTACTCCAAATATAACATTTGTAGGAATCATTTGCATAATTTTACTTTATTTCCTTTTCTGGGAGTTTAGGGATGGCAATCAAGGTTGACAGGGAGGGGGAGAGGAGGGAGGGAGGAGGAGGGAGGAGGAGGGAGGAGGAGGGAGGGAGAGAGAGAGGAGAGGAGAGGAGAGGAGGAGGAGGAGGAGGAGGAGGAGGAAGGAGGAGAGAGGAGGAGGAGGAGGAGGAGGAGAGGAGGAGGAGGAGGAGGAGGAGGAGGAGGAAGAGAGAGGAGGAGGGAGGAGGAGGAGGAGGAGAGAGGAAGAGGAGGAGGAGGAGGAGGAGGGAGGAGGAGGAGGAGGAGGAGGAGGAGGAGGAGGGAGGAGGAGGAGGAGGAGGAGAGGAGAGGAGAGAGGGAGAGAGAGGAGGTGGAGAAGTAAGAGGATTGTCTGGTTAAAACAATTACATATCTCAAAATAAAAAACGATATGCAGCTAAGAGAAAAACAGGCCAAAGGGTTGCACAGAAAAGATGTTCATTAAGGCATAAGAACAACAGCAAACACAGAGGGCAGTGGCAAACTTGGGAGTTCACACAGTAAGCAAAACATATTCATTTCAGTACAGCCAATATAATAGTCGCTAAAAATTATCTTTTTAGCAACTATTCTGCATGCTACGGGGATATATTACATGATCAAAATAAAAAGAAAAAAAAATTACATTCTCATATCATTTCCTTGAGTAAAGAAAAAAAAAATTACATTCTCATATCATTTCCTTGAGTAATGTTTTGTTCATTTTTATCAAAGATGGATACTTCATGCAAGAATATGAGCATTATCTATATATGCATTAATACTCCATAAAATATCCACATACTCACTTGGTCATTTCACAAGTTTTCTTTGGTATGCCAGTCACACTTAATACTTCTTAATCAATATCATATTTAATCTTTTAAACTCTTGTTAATTAATATGAATTTACTAATCACATGTATTTCTTTAAGAAAGTTTTAACTAAGGCTGCAATCATTCAAATTCTCATACACCCTCAGTCCCTTACACCTATATCTATTTCTGAAATAGTTGCATGAACTATACCATGCATACAGTTACGGTAATAAAACTTGTATAGTACACCAAAAAGTGACTTGACATCTCACTGTGCAGCTCCAGTGTCATTAAACAGAGAGCGACCCTGAACAGACTTGCATAACTACCTCAAAAAATTCAAGGACTGCTTGGTGGCTGCGGAACAATGAGTGGTGCATCAGATTCTTGAGGTACACTTCCAACTCTGACTGCGCAGTGCTGTCCATGGTTTGAAGGGCCCGTCGGGGATACCTGAATCATACTCAGTCTATTGTTGGCTTTGCTGCAGCTGACAGATAAGTATAGAGTCTGTGTGAGCGTATGTATGTAGGTGCATGAATGTGTAGCTTCATATCTTAGTGTAAATGTGTATATAAATGTCTCAGTGCAAATGCATTCTAGTGTTCATAAGTTTAACTGTGAATGTGTAAATACAATGGAGACTGTAAGTAAGCCTGAAATTGAGTCTGATTGCTAGTGTGGGAAAAATTACCAGTACCTGTGGGTTTATCCCTTGGACTTTGAGGTACACAAAGAAAGGATGACAGAATTCACAATGAACTAAGATAGTGTTATTATTCAAATCTCTATTTACATAAAATAGTTTTGGGCTTCATTTGACATACACCTTCAAGCTAGTACTCTGGCAAAAGGTGAGAAGTTGCCAAGGTCAAATGTGGCATCTAATGCACTGACAGTATCAAGCAAAGGAAAACTTGGGCTTACTACTATGATATCTATGGGTGCATCACTATATGCAAGGGATTGGGTATAGGTGTGTGTGTGTGTGTGTGTGTGTGTGTGTGTGTGTGTGTGTGTGTGTGTTGTGTGTGTGTGTGTGTGTGTGTGTGTGTGGTGTGTGTGTGTGTGTGTGTGTGTGTGTGTGTGTGTGTGTGTGTGTGTGTGTGTGTGTGTGTGTGTGTGTTTGTGTGTGTGTTGTGTGTGTGTGTGTGTGTGTGTGTGTGGTGTGTGTTTGTGTGTGTGTGTTTGTGTGTGTGTGTGTGTGTGTGTGTGTGTGTGTGTGTGTGTGTGTGTGTGTGTGTGTGTGTGTGTGTGTGTGTGTGTGTGTGTACATGTGTAGCAAATCAGAAAATGAAGTGTGCATTGGGCTTAGGCATGCTTTCAGCAATCACATGCATTTATAAATTTGATTTTGTTTAAAAGACCATGGTTGAGCTGTAATTTGTAGAAACTGTTCTACAATGATGATCTTAAACAATGCAAGAATAAAGAAGTAAAATTTATCAAGCAATAATCATCTTAATGCAAACCACTCCAAAAGCACATACTTGAGTAATCTCTTTCTGTTGATTGTACCAACACTCTCAACAGCATCACCCTCTCTATCTGCCTCCTTCATCTGTACGCGCATACTCAATCTCCGCTGCCTTGCTTCTCTTGTTGCAGCTGGTAGTTTTAGCTTCGTTCTGTAATGATTCAAAAAGTAATATAAGTAAAATTACAGGCAAAAATGGTATGCAATGAAGAGTAAATAAATAAATAGATAATTTGTTTTCAACAGTATTTAAAATGTGATTAGGACCACCAATCTGATAATGGAAGTAAAATAGACATGTGTCAGGATCAAGACAAAAGTAAATAAAAACTAAAAACCATCTACTGGGCAATAGAGAGGGAATAACACTCATGACTGTTACTTAGTAAATATTTCACACTGCATTTATGAGAAAATTACATGCAAATGCACATGTTAAAAATCTGCCAAATTTAGACACACCTTCTCCCCATATTAAAAATACATATATAGTATTTGTCTATTAAAGAAATCTGGAGATTCTAAATAGTATTAAATACAAAAATGGAGAGATGAACTAGCATAAAAAAAGAATTAAAAGTAAGAATGAAAAAGAATAACACAGAAGTCCAGAAAAAAACAGCTTGAAAACAACACCTCACAAGGGTTATAATATGCAAAAGAAAAACATGAATCCAAGTACAAACCTTAGAAGGAAGAGCATGTTATTGAGTGATGTGACATTCTTCACCTTCCTCTGAACAGACCACTTAAAATCTCCATGTTCCAACTCTATAACTAAACTGAAAAGCAAAGATATATATTAACAGGCATAATATTCATGCCAAAGACTAGAAATTAAGAAAGAAAGAGAGAGAGCGAAAAAAAAATTATGCAAAACATTATGTAATATCATCTGCCTTTAATATGATCTAGTGTGAATATATATATATTGAAAATAAAGGAAAAATATTATGATTTTACTATCACATTTCAATAAGATCTCAGACAGACACACACACACACACACACACACACAAACACATAAAATCAAAGATGGTAACAACAAAAATAATTACACATGATTATTGAAGACGTTGATATGGGAGTGTGAGGGTTGGACATTACTGATGTTCAAATGCACTGGCTGCTCCGGAATGAAGACCCCAGGCATGAGCTCGGAGTATTTTGTGATGTGGAAGACTTTTGAGTATGTGTGTGTTGTTGCATCTGGAAGGTTATGGGGAGAAAAAAGTCCTTTTTATATATCCAACTTTATATAAAAAAAAGTATGGTAACATATTTACTTATGCAAGTAGTATTCACATAACCCCTAAGAACTCCAGGACCATGATAGCAAATATGATGAATTTAACAAAAGTACCATATTTCATCATATTGAAGTTAAATCTATATTTCAGAAAAAAAAAAACAGGTGAGTATACTTACGGTCTGTAGAATCTGCAAAAGGATCAGGTGTATGGTCGATGAAGCCCAGAATATCACCATCAGAATCTGGAGAACCTAGTACTGGACTCTGGGAATTAGTTGTTATCACTAAGGGTGGAACCTGTAGAAAATGTTGAAATGTGTTAATAATAATAATAATAATAATAATAATAATAATAATAATAATAATAATAATAATAATAATAATAACAATAACAATAACAATAATAACAATAACAATAATCATAATAATCATAATCAATCATAATCATCATCATATATTATTAATTATAATTATATATTATAATAATAATAATAATAATAATAATAATAATAATAATAATAATAATAATAATAATAATAATAATAATAATAATAATAATAATAATAATAATAATAATAATAATAATAATAATGATGATGATGATAATGATAATAACAATAATTATTATTATCATAATAAATGCATGTGCAGATTCAACCCCCAAATACACAGAGAAATACTTGCAAACATGCCTATGACTATAAATACCCATATGCTCAAATGCTTCTTTTCCAAATAGCTGTCATAGTTAACCCCAAGCCGCCGGGCGTGGCATGTACGTACATGCCATTGACCATTGTGTGTGTTGAATTTAGTAATTGTTTTTACATATAGATGGCTCCATAAGTACTGTCACCGATGAGCCAATTACGCGAACTACCTATCTAACCTGTTTATTCTTTTCCTTGATTTTCGATAATATTTTCTAATATCTAATATTGCTGCTAGTAATGTCATAGTAATTATAATGTTTATAACAAAAATAACAATGTCAATACTGATAGCATTATTAAAAAAAAAACGTTTTTCCCGCTTTTTCAAGGAAGAGAAAGGTCACAAGATCTACTAATTGACTCCTTTGTGGCTAAGCACTGGCAGAGCCATCTATGTGTAGAAACATTTAACCAAACCTTGCCAAAGGGAACGCACCATTTTTCCATCGACATTGGGTTAACTTCAATATGTATAATCATTTAAAAACATATCAATGTATCTTTTTATTTCACTACTGGTTTTAACTTGTTAAATTATTGAAACATGAACTTCCACACACTAATCATGTTTACAATAACCTCTGTCTTGAGTCAGGCCCCAGTCAGATAAAGCAAATGGAGCCCCAGCTTTATTTACCATCAGCTATATACAAATCCTATGTTACATACTTTTAAGTATCTGTCTCACTCTCACTCTTTTCTTCAGCAAGTTATATTTACCTGTTTCCTTTCTCTTTTGATATATGTTGTTTTTGGGCGATGAATTGCATTAATACTATAATCGGTATCATCTCTGGACACATTCAGTTCTGAAAATCATACAAGGCTCTATTTAATTTTTTCAAGAATGAAGGAGTGCTACTGAATTACAGATTAGCATATTCAGCAAAGTAAGTTAGAGAACCTTCATAATCTTATCATAATATGTCAAGCTGCTTAACAGGACAATAGAAAAGAAAAAGCTGAAACAGTTCATCTTAAAATGACTCATCTAATGTTTCTCTGTCTACATATAAAACTGTAGCATTAACACATTATTTACTTCTTGTGATTATAAGTTTTACCTTGAATCAAAAAAAGGAAATCTAATCAAATCAAAAGGAAGAACACAACCGAAAAGGAAATCAAATCAAATTAAAAGAAAGGACACATCAGAGAAGGAAACCTAATCAAGTTGAAAGAAAGGACACAAATATCATACCAGTTGGTCGTGAGAGCTTGGGCTTCTGTGTTTCTCCATTCATCCCATTGACTGTAGTTTGTGAAGACTTCATGCCTTCTATGGAATCCAGGTCTGTAAAAGAGATAATTTTAACATCAGGTACATAACAACTGCAAAATGCTGACATAAAATTTTAAAATGAGCTATTGTGCTAGACACTGAATGTCTTATAGATAATGAATCAAAATATTTTACAATTGTGTTACAAAAAATATGCAATTCTTCTTTAACCCCATATGACTGGCCTGGCCACTTCCTACACATACAGTTAACATGGGCTACTAGAGAAGTAGTCAAACATCTAGGTTGTGTAGTGGGAATGTCTTGGGAAGAAAGGGATGGGTGGAATTGTCTTAGGAAAGCCACAGTTGGCCTACAGCATATATTTATCCTTTAATGGGATGACCAAGAATATGGATAAGGGCAGTGGTTAAATGCAGGATATATTTAGAATTTTGGCATCTTTAATTTTCACTTTGGAAAGTTTCCCATGCTAAAGATTATAATTTCTCTGCAATTTATTGGGAATTTTGGAAAGGAAAAAAATGGCTGTTCTAGAAATTGTCATTCTATATACTCATTTTAATTTCATTGGTTTTACTTCAGCTGTACAGCTCTTGCATTCACCAGGATGAATTTGGATTTATAACATGAAAAATAAGTCCTCATTTCTTTACCTCATAAACACATCAGTCAACCATTTAAGGGAAAATTAAAAGCATGGGAAACATAACCATACTCTCTGCTCTTTTGGTTGCCTTGTAAACATGACCTTAAAGTCGTCTTTTGAGGGCTGCATCTCCTCAATGAACATGAGCAGAGTGGCACTGACAGAAAAAGAGCTCTGGGAAATACATAAAAAACTTAATGTGAACTTTTGGTGGGCAGATTGTGTCTATTTGGTGTCCCATTTCTTTAGGTGATTACTTGTCCTTCACAATCCTCACCCTCATTCCCCTCATCCCATACTTGAGACCATTTCATCCCTCTTTTTAGTGACTTACTAGTGCTCCATCATTCCAAATGCATCCCTAATCTTAGTACAAGATGTAGCAAGCCCAGTTTTACTCAGCAGCTTCTTGTCTTGCCTCTTGGCTTCCTAAACTCACCCTTCTACCCCACTCCCTGCCACATTATGCCACTCCTTTACTACCAATCTTGACATTTGTCTTTTAACAGACTGATATGATATGGGAGATACATTTTCTAGTGTAGAGACCCATGTCTTCTTTGACTCAACATATTTTCCGCTTTGCTGTTCAGTGCCTGATAAAGATTTGATATCAATACAATATGCACTTTGCCCTTTGGCCTCCTATTCCTGCCCAAACAAAGCTGTTCAATCTAAAGTACAGAAGAAAATAAAGCTGGTATCTGGCCTATTCTTTCATAACTTCTGGCTCCTACAGTGGAATAATCAGGTGACCTATCAGGATCAGAAAAATGTTATCAGGTGCATTATATAGCACTCTTTAAGCTACAAAGAAGAATTGTCATTTCAACAATAAACATTTCAGAAATATGCTATGCAGGACTATCTTAGACTTTATTATATTTACTATTTCTTTGAGATTCAGACAGTCCATGATTTTTCAATTCTAAAAAAGTTTCTCATAGTAAGAAAGTCCACAGATCTAACTACTTGGGAGAGTAATCTTGGTTCAAAGCATGTTCGGCTGGATATTTGTTGCTTATCTTTCTCAAATCTTATCTAATATTTTTTAAACAAATCAAATCTGCTTGTTTTTTTTTAAACACATCCCGAAGATGCCCAAGGAACTAATGCCACTTTTCATCATATCACATTTCACTAGCCCTCATGCATACCTGTATTTCATTTTATCACATGTCACTAACCCTCATGCATACCTGTATTCTGGACACTCTTCTTGGTTGGCCTTTCATTTTCCTCTTCCTCTTGTTCTTCCGGCATGTGGCTGATGACATCATTGCAAGCCCCGTATCCTTTTTGACTAGCCGTGTCTTCATTCTCAGCTGCTAATGGTTCCATCTCATTCTTGAGCCTTCTCTTGCTAATCTGGAAATAAAAAAAATAGATACAAGGTAAAATATACCATCAATCTAAAACAGAAATATACTAAAATGTTCCTTATTTCAACAAGCAACTAGAATCTCACATACACAAATAAAAAAATAATTTTCCATTCCTTCTTATCACCCCTTGCCCATTTATTCTTTTCCTTTTTTATTCAAATATCAATTCATATGACTTTTTTTAACAAAAATTTTACCAGATAAACTGAAGACATATACAATATCAGGCACTAGAAACTACGTCTAGAAGTCACAGCCAGTAAGGTACTGCTTTCCTTTGTAAAAACATATGATAGACTTCTCTCAGCGTATGACCTTCGGAACTCTTCTTTATAGTAAAGACACTTAAATGAAACTAAAGGAGGTATAAATATCAACATATATTCCTAATTGAAAGCTAAAGCTACAAATACTAAACATTTCTTTATCTTTCAGAGCTTTATATTGATGAAGATGAATAATATAAATAAAATGTGAAAATAAATGTATAAAGTAACAAGTTTTATAAAGATGAAGATGAATAATAAAAATGAAAAGTAAAAATAAATGTATGACGTAACTAGTTATCAATGGTAAAAAGAATGTCAAACACAGTAGGAACAAAAAACAAAATAAATTTACCAACTGTATTCTGAACTTTCTCATTCAACCTTAAAATGTACACTAATAATAAGATGAATATGCTTTCACTAAATATCACAAAAAGGGTGATAATTTAAGATGACAAATACTGCTGATTTTAGCTACTATAGTTAAATGTAACAAATATTGTAAAAGAAACACTGCCAATGTTTCTTATTAAAAGGAAGCTACTAGTAAAGCAGTTTCCTAGTTCTATGAGGGGGGGGG